GAAAGATACTAACTTTTCAGTCTGCTACGTTACTGACTGTACTGACAAACTATGCTGACACCGTGTTTGCGCCGCAACAGGTCGCGACAAAGCGACCGTTGAAAATCATTTGAACTTTGTGTCAGCACATCATAAATAGAACGAGGCATCAGTTTACTGCATCCAGTGTAGACAACATCACTGATTATAATGGGTTCTATTCTACGTACACCGGATGCAAACGGCGCAGCGCGACAAAATACAATAGAAATCTATTGTATATTGTCGTGCCGTGCGATGTGATTCAGAAGCATTTAATCTGCGTTATATGTTCTGTAAAAAAAAAGTTAATATCGGCGGCATATTCGCCGATACCGATAATATCGGCTAAATGATATGTCGGCCAGGCTCTAATTATTATATAATAGAAAGTTACAATAACAGCATTTATATAATTAAAACAACTATTCTGTAAAATTTATTATTTTTATGATGATTATTATTAGTAGTAGTAGTGTAATAATAATAGTAATAATAATAATAATAATAATAATTATTATTATTATTATTCAGTAACTGAACTGATTCAGAAAATTACAAAATTTTACTAGAGGACTTTGTTTGCCAAAGTGTGAATTCATTATTATTATATAATATAGAAATATAAAAGTTAAAATAACATTATTATTTAACTAAAACGACAACCATTCAGAAGATTACTAATATTTGAATGGTTGTGCGAGAGCTGCGAGAGTGTTAATAGTAACTGTGCAAAAACATTTTTGCAGTTTGACTGGTGTGAACAGACCTTGACTTTCATAGGCACGTGTGTTTAATATTATCCAGGATTTATTTTTCAGCCATCATAAAATATTTATGCCCTTTCTTCCCAGCTCTGAAGGTCATGTAGAGGTTTACTTGTTTACAGCATTGGCTCTGTGATATTTCATGTGTTCAGCAGAACTTGGTAAACTTCTCCTCTGAGCTATCCGTCAGTGCTAGCGCTCGCTAGCTACCTTTGTCGTCCTTTATCTCTGCACACTCAAACTGTCATAACAGGCTCATATTCCACCTGTCGTGATGAGGAAAAAGCCCCTCTGATGTCTGGATATTATAGCGTCTCGTTATTTGAGCCATTACCCAAGAATCAGGCTAAGCTCAAGCTGAAGTCTCTCATAATACGCATGTTTTTTCAATTAGTAGACTCAAATGAGAGGCGTATATGAAATTAATGATTCCCTCTTTGTATGCATCAACCTTGAGGGCCATAATTACTTCATAATAAAATATTTTCACCCTGATTTTAACTACCAGATTTGATTAGCGTGTTCTTTACGCTCTATCTGTTATGTTCTGAATAATTGATTTGAATGGTGTGAATTGAAAAAATATCCTTTTGTAATGTGTCATCTTAAAACAAAGGCTTTGCGGAGTGGCTGACAGTAGCGTGTGATTTATTTATTTTTATATGTTAAACATCTTTGTTCTGCTTGACAGTGAACTGAAGGAGATGCGTATGCAAATGCAGCCACTCTGGTGTTGTGAGGATCACTTTAAATAGAACAGATTTTATGCCTTTCTCAGGATTGGCTCAGATGAGCTCAGTATTGCATGAGGGCTGCTGGATGTGTGTGTATGTGTGTGTGTGTGTGTGTGAATGGGAGAAGGTCACTGGAGTGTATTCAAACACACAAGCTCATAGCCAACTGTTGAAATTCAAGGTTAAGGCAACTAGAATAAAGAGCAAACTTTAAACCGGGTTCTCAACGCTTGAATTACAAGTTGTGGGAGTCTTTCAGATTCGATCTCTGCAGAATGGTTAACAAATGTTAGCTTTGTTGCACCCTCATTTCGCTTAAAGCTGGAGTGTGTGATTCTTGTGCTGTTAGCGCCCCATACGGAATCACCCTATTAAAGGTTTGCTTATCGTTCACTTTGCGTTTTACATTAGAATAGGAGACAGTATTTTAACATTACACAGCTCACTGCCTGACCCTGATTGGCCAATCACAACATTCAGCAATCGATCATTCATGCCAATGCTGCGTATCAGACCGTTCATCCAGGCAACTGAAACCTGTACTATTTTATTATTTCTCATATCACACCACAGATTCTTGTTTTATAGAAATGCAATCCATCTTGAGTCGTATTTATCAATTGTAATGAAAATGACTTCAGAAAACTTCAGTTTTAAAATGACTGTAATGTTGTTTGTCTTTTAGTTTTTTGGCTGATAGTGTTTGGAACATTGTAATGGACTTTTTAAGATTATAAAATTATTTCAGCTAAAATAAATAAGATGTAAGTTTTGTGAAGAGTCATATGAATAATGTAGAATGAGATAAAGTCTGTCAACATAATATTCATAATATTGTCAGACTCTGTTCCATGTTTCGTGTGTGTCCTGCTCCCCATGTGCCTTCCCATGCCCTTATTTGGTTTGTTTCCTGTTCCTCCCCTGATTAAGTTGATTTCTTCCCAGGTGTGTCCCTTGATGTGTCATGGCTCCCAGGTGTGTCTCGTCATCCCCTCCTCCTGTGTGTGTGTGTGTATATAAAGTGTTCCCAGTCCCTAGTTCTCTGTCCGATGTTGAAGGTCTTCGTGTATACGTCTTCCTGAGTTCGTCTCCCTTGGTTCCGTCCTACGAATAAAGTCTTGTGTAAAGTATTCTCCAGCGTCTCCTCGTCCCTCGTGTGTGTGCACCCGTGACAAATATTCTGCCTCTGTAGATACACTAGTAGCGTAGTGTTGTTTGGTGATGTGAAGAGAGAACATTAGAAAACGAAACACAAATATTATAGTGCTTCACCAGCAGAGACAATGAGAGAATCAGCACCTGTGTGACCGAAGAATCAGAAAGTCTGAAGCCAAAATGACTGACAAAGACAAAAAATGAGTGCAAACATTGCAATTTTTGTTGTACAGGTAAGTGAATTAATTATTGAATAGACCACTCTCTAAAACTCACTAGTATCAGTGTGATTTACAAAAAACTCAGAAACGTTCATGCTAATCCACATCGATAGATGGCAGCGTCTAATAACATTGTGGTATCGGTACTTAAAGTACATGACCGCTAAAGTGATGCTAAAGAACTGGTGGGATATGCTAAAGTATATTAACACAAATGATTCACACTTAATCTTTGAGTCACAGACATACAGTGTAAACTATATCAGATCCAAACATAATGGGGAATTTGAGTCCTAAAATATTTCCCCTACTTCCCATATGAAATTACGGTTGCATTTGAAGACGATTAGTACTCAGTTTTAATTAGCTCTTTGTTAAAATATTTCCTCTATGATGTTCTGAATATATTATATCCCACTAACATCCTGGACACTACAGTTCATATGCACGTAGTATTATATCATATCACCAATGGCCATGTGAGACGCTATATGTGGGTTTGCCAACCGCCATTTCAGGAAAAGAAGACGCTCAAATCCGTTTGTGACACGCGAGAACCAGTGAGGTCTGTTGAGGGAACTGTCACACACATTTTTACCCACATCTTCTGTGTTTAACATATTTGATGCGCATTTTAGTAGCAAATCACTCAAAAGTCATTTAAAGTGCTGGAACCATTGTATTTGTAGTAGGGATTTTCTTATTTCTCTTTTTCTGCCCTAAAACTGTCTGGGCATCAGAGACCACAAGTCGTAGAGACATCAAACTTGATGGGATGGTCAGAAATCCACCTGCTAGCCAGGCACACATTTG